CAACCAAATGAAGACTTTTATTATATGCATCCTTTTATCTGGGGCCACACTGGTCATCTAAACCTCCACATTTTAGATCTAAGATCAAAGAACAAGTTTCATAGGTAAAAAGATCAACTCTAAAAAATCATTATACTCACATTGAAGGATTTACATCTAGAAAATTTAAACAAGTCCCAGATATAAGGAGACCTAGCAGCTTACAATTTGTTGAAGATCTATTTGTTCATTTAATGAGTTTGAATCAGTCGTATTAAACTACTGATTACCGAAATCGATTACTGCCTTCTAGTAGCAAGTACAGTTTCCAAATTAAACATGTTGGCATGAAACTGTGTCAACAGAAAAATGTTATCATTCTACAAATATTATGAACTGATTATCACTGTCTCATCTGTCAAAATTACCAATCACTGCTTGTTTCTATATCATTACCAATTCACTTTCTGACAAGTGAAGATGTTTTAGAAATACTCAAATCACACATCAGTAAAGATTTTCTATGCACAAACTTCTCTGAATGTCAAGTCCCCTGAATATATCAACTAAAATTATGTATTGATTGGAAAGAATCCTCTGGGGTGAATATTTATGAATGAACCATAGGAATGAAAAGAACCATGGTTAAGTCAGAATATCATAGAACATGACAGGAAATATTCACATGACATACAAACTTTCTGCATGAGCAGAAAATTCACACTATGCTGAGATAACTATACTTCATGAAGAATGTAACCAAATATTTAGTTAATATATTTTAGCATTGGAGCTGCCCTGAATTCATAAGGCCCTGGGTTCAATACCCAATACTACAAAAACAAACAAATAAAAAAAGCAAGTATACAAACAAAAATCCGTTCAAACAGCAATTTACTCATACATCAAGCAAAAGTTGAACAAAGTTAACCTTAATGTCAAATTTGACACAGTATATATTGACATACACTAATTGGAAAAGATACAAGTCTATTAATTCACAATAAGCATATTCTGTAATTTCCAGCCACAAGACCTATTTGCACAGCTGTCCATTCTTTAGGAAGATGGCCAGGTAAATGCAAAGTGAAAAAAGCTAATTACTTTTTGCTAAGGCAGAGTTTGCTTGAATATTATACTGTCATGTCTAATGTACTGGGCTTACCTACCCCCAACCTGTGACTTCGAAAACCATTATACACAAAGAACATTGCATTTGCAATGGAAACCCAAAGTATGGATGCCAGTATACACCGGAATGAGTGTATTCTACAGTGACTCCGCTCTCTCTGTAGAAATAAATTAAATTCAACATTGAAGGGATCTGAAGCAAGACTAGGATTTAGACAGGGAGATGGCTGTGGAAGCCTAGAATTAGAAAAGCCTGGATTCCACAGACTGGACCAGAATCTTCCCTTTGCCCGCATGTCTTTCTCAGAACTTCCTCTCTCTCTCTCTCTCTCTCTCTCCCTCCCTCTCTCTCTCTCTCTCTCTCTCTCTCTCTCTCTCTCTCTCTCTCTCTCTCTCTCTCTCCCTAGTTTCTAGTTTACTGAGGAATAGCATGCTGCAAATACCTGCCTCAGAAATACATCCTGCCATAAGTTTCACTTATATTTTGTATTAAAATCTGAAATCTAGTATCAAGTTCATACTCCTTCATTTATATAGATGTTCGACCTATATAAGACCAAAACTGCTATCAAAATCTCTTCAAGAGTGAAACTGACAGAAAAATGTAAGAGAAATCTGAAAATATTTCAAGTGCCCCTTTGCCCAGTATATTGACTTCTGGTCATTCAAAAGAAAAGGAACTTGAGGCAACTGGCTGGCTTTAAGGCATTTTGAAGGACAGGCATTATGTAATAGCAGTAACAATGTGGGACATTGATGGGTTAGCAAACATTTCCACTTTAAGAAAATGATGCCATTCTAGAGTCTCTTCAAAAATGAATAACTTTAAAAATGGTTAATAATCATGTTAACCCTCACTCCATAAACGTGTCATTAATCATACTGCATACAAAACAATCCAGTGCATTGGAGTATCCAAAGACTCAGATTTGATAGACTCGTTTGTTCTAAATCATGCGTTGGCTAATCCCTGGTAAGAAACTCAATTTTAAAACAAAATATAGTCTAATATGGAACGGAACCAAACATAGAGTGAGGCAAGATGCCTCACAAGACAGTTTACAGGGCATATATGTGAGAGTGCGCATGGGCAGCAGTGCAGTGTGACAACACATCTGAACGTACATACAAAAACAACTTTGGAAAGTTTTAACTTTTTTTTTAGAAAAATATTCAGCCAGAGAAAGAACTTTGGCTGACCTGTTATCTTGATTTTCAAGAGAAGATTATAGACCTGCACATAATTCATCTTTGTTTAACTATGTAATAGGTCACACTGCTTGTAAAATGAGCCCAACGCTATGCTTTTAAAAAGATATCAAATAGCAATATTTAGTTAACTATAATATGAGAGTTAAATCCATAAGAGAAAATGGTAACAACTGAAGATCAGACCTTCTTTTACTCAAAAAAGACTTCAAATCAGAGGACATATTTCTGTGTTCTTAATGTTAGATTTCAATGAAAACACTTAAATGATTTGGCTGTCAAATTAATAATTATATTTTGATTACTTAAAAAACAGTAGGTATTCATCTACTGAATAAAAAAAATGCTACAGTTACATTTACAGAGACGTCTGAAATTTCAGCATGAGCAACAACAGCTTATTAGTACTTCAAGATTTTTTGTATAAATAACTGACAAAATAATGCCATAAAAGTTTGCATAAATGGTGTGGTCTTTTATTTCAGCACATCCTTTCTCCAATGCAACAAAGTCTGATGTCTTCACATGCATTTCTTATCTATTTTTGCTATTCCAATCCTAAATCCTCTTGCCTGTAACTAATCTTTTATGACTGAGGTCACTGAGGTGGTGCCAAAATTCAATAATGCCATTCAATCTACTGTAGCAATGTGCTTATCTCATTACTGGAATGTAGGCCATTCAGAACAACGCACTTCATGGCAATGATGAAATGTTCACCTAAAATGCCCTATTGTTAATTTTTTCTCACACTAAGAATTGTAGATAACAATGGGTCCACATGTGCATTCCAACAGAGAATAAAAGTGGGCAGGTTATTATTTGGTGTCTCCTTTAATTGGGAAATAGAATTTTATGTGCCAGTTGTATGAGTGAAACAAACAAAATCCTTTCTTACTAAAATGGGTAAAAGATCATCCTTTAAATGAACAATTACAAGTAGATTTTATTTCTCTGAAGTGTCTACATTGTGAAATGAGATTGGATTTATGTCTGTTCTAAAGAATGAACAAATAATGGATCCTTTTTGAGTTATTAGTCCTAAATACAGTAAATGAAAACTATACAGAAATATTCTCCATTTCAAAGTGATTATATCTCTAGATACTATTTTAATAATGTTAATAATGATAGCTGATGATTGTGTCTGAAAGCCTACACAATAGACGTTCTCAGCTAAAGCTCATTGGCACAGCAAAAGAAAGTAAATGTTTAACTACTGTAGATAGGTATATAATTCAAATTGCTCTCAATGCTCATTTATTTCTCCTGCAACTTGGTAATATTTGCCAATAGTCTACTATGTGATGATCCACCTTCTGAGCTTATCTGTGTGCCTTAAGTATTCTCTCTCTGAATGTGTTGCCATAGTCTTCATTTAATAGAAAAAAAAAAAAACCTTTACAACTGTCAGTCAAAATATATCTCAACAAATTTTAGAGAAATACTCTACAAATTTCAGATACTTACTAAAATTATGACAGCAAAAATAGACTGAGTTGAAATTAGGAAAACAAAATGTAAAATGGTTTTAGAGCCAACCAAACAAGGTATTGCTATTTCCCCTGCATCTGGCTAAAGGTACCAAATTTAATGATTGTTTTAATAAAAAATTAACATACTTAACAACATTAATTTCTTCTTATTAAAGAAGAGTTTTACATCAAATATTGTTTTAGCTATAAACTCATTGACCAAAAGAACCCAGATAAATTTCTAGAAACTCATAATCCATGAATTTTTTATTGACTGGTATGACCATTTTATACACCCTAACCCTCAGTTCAACTAACAGTAAGGAAGATACAAAGCCATCAATCACAATGAAAAAATACAAACTTTCCAAAGATAATGACATTTTAAAAATCAAATTTAATTTCAGTTTGTCTTGCAGTCCAAAAAAAAAAAAAGTTATGTATTGTGTCAAGAGGAAATTGGCATGGCTCTAAGTATGTGGCAAGCATTTAATTAACATAGTTCTAATTCCTGTTTCTAATTCATAGTTCTAATCCTACTAACGGTGATTCATTTGATTCTCATTGATATAGCAAACAGAAAGCACAAGTGTAACTAAGATCAAACTTACACATTAGATTACTTTAACACAGGAGGCTAAATCATTGCTTTAGGGCAGGGACACGAGGATTTCTTGAAAACAGCAGATATTCCTGTGCTTTTCACTAAAGTGCCTTGTAGATTAGGTAGTTTTAATGTCTTAATATAGTGCTTAAATCCATTGACAAGAGTCTGAATTTGCTACTATCTAATAACTAAACTATTTCATGCAACTCATCAATGTAACCCAAAAGAACTTTTATAAAATTATATATCGACTCCTGTGACAGAATTCAGGTGTAGAAAAGTCCAAAAAGTGCTCAAATATATGTGTGTGTTTTTGAACTTCTCGTCTACTTTCACAAAAATTCACCCTTTATTACAGGAAAACAATTATTTCATCATTCAGACTTGTTTACATACCAAACATTTCTATGAAAGGTTTGTTAAGTGCATCAAGATATCACCTAATCTTTTTAAAATCATGTAACATATATTAACAACAGATCCAAACACCAAGGCATTTTTGACATACACAAAGGCACCACTTAAGTTAATGTTAAACTTAGTGGCAAGCACAAAACTTCTAGTAAACTATTACTTACTGGTAACCGATTGTTACTTACAGAGAAGAGCAGGTTTGTGGATTCTTCTGCTATTTGTCCCAAAGGGTTTTGTAGAATCGCTCCAGAGTGTATACTGCTCACTTTGAAGATCACCCGTACTCTGGTGTGCTGAAGGGAAAAAAAAAAAAAGTCCTTACAGTTTCTTATTTCAGATTATTCGTAGTCTATCGTGGTTTAGGTGGCAACAGGCAAAGACTCCATAGCGACAATATGAGAAAAAATGAAGGCTTGTTTCATATTTACTGTATAAAGTCATTTTTTGACATGCCTATACAACTGTTCGTGGCGGCTTTCAAACATGATTTCTAATAAAAAAAAAAATGAAAAGAAAAAAGAAAGAAAGAAAGAAATCGCTCCAGGTTCTTTGAGAGAAAGCTTGCCGCTGGGAAGTTGATTTTGGCTCTTGGCCAAAATCATGAGCAAAGGGGCCTCATTAAGGATTCATGGCAGCCTTCAGCACTCTCAAAAAAAATGTGACCCAACAGGCTAAATCAGCGACTAAAATTAAAAAGTAAGAGACAAAGACAACTTACTTAATATTCCTTCCAAAGCAACATTCAACATTTTTTTTGTTTTTGTTTTTTCTTTTTGGTAATCAAACCCATGTTAGCCTAATCTAATGCACTGGCCCCTGTCCTCTAATGTTCACACAATTCCTCTTTAAAACTTGTCATTTTCCCTCCTAAAAAATCATTTTCTTTCTGTGTCAGTTTGCAAAGATTTCGCTCTGGTAACCAAACCATATCTGTTGCGACCGGTTCAACAACCGAAACCCTAACGTCGGAAGACGGACTGCAGCCTCCTGATTGAAGTTTTAAATCAACGAGCAAAAATAAGTAAACAACCGTCAGCACATTTCAACTTACACAGAAGTGAGCACACACCCTTTAAACTTGCATCCTTTGTATGGGTCAATTTCACTGCCAAATTATACCCCCAAAAGTAGATCTGACCCGGGAACCTTACCTAGATGTCTTCTGGCTTTTCTGTAGATCAAAGTTTCCTGCCTAAGCACACAGATATCTTTCACACACCATACCAGCCCTTTTATGAATCCTGCACTGTAACAGGCTGCTTTCCACACCACTTGAGAGCCCAGTGCGTCAGCTCTCAAGATAAAAATGCATGGCTAACACACAATTAGTGGGAGAGGTTGTCTCCAGGAGAATTTATCTTATAACGAAAGAAGCAGAAACAGCTATTTTTTTCCCCTTTTTCTCCTCCTTTTTTTTTTTTTTTTTTTTTTTTTTTTTTTTTTGAAATAGCACAGAGGGTGCGGTCAGATGTTAGGATTTTGCCTGAGAAAAGGGCCCTACACAGCACTAGGACCCACTAAATACTAGCAGAGCAGCCTGGGAAGGGAGCCAACGGAAGGACTTTGTTTGACCCAGCTGCCAATCTCCCCCGAAGCCGTGCGCCAGACTAAACACTCACACTATTTTAACTCAAATCAGGCTACAGCAGCTGTTTGCTTTCCGGCTCTGAGCTCGGCACCCACATGTCCTGTGTAGTTCACCCGCAAGCTTTGTGAGCTGCCTTGCTGAAATCTGTTTCGGGGTGGGATTTATCAGTGGAGAGAAAAATTTAACCCTGCTCCTCATGGTTAACATGGATTGTTTGTTTCTCAGCTTTTGAGCTGGTCACTGGAAGGTGATTTTATAATCTTTGAAAGAGAGGTGTGATAATTTTACATCAAAGGAGAAAAATTGGGATTTGAAGGTAAGGATTCTGAATTTTCTTTCAAAAGTTTTCTAGTGTGTTGAAACTAACAGTAAAACACTGCAATAGCAATGCCCTGTACTGTAACTCTAGGAACAAGGACGGTGCCCACTCCTTCAAAGCCAATGCCTTCCACCAGCCAAGATGGACAATTAGGATTATACTAGAGTCTAATAATGCATCCTCCACTTGTGGAAAGTTCCTTCAGAAGCAACGATGAAGTACAGAAGGTTGCTTCTTTACATGTAAGGGCACATAGGACCAAAGGCACAAAGCAACCCAACTTCCCTAAATTTTAATTTCATTTATTTATTAATCCGAAGGGTTGAAATCTCATTAATGGTTGTCAGAGATGAAAATGTATCCATTGGTAGCATAGAGTAAACATTAAATGAGGAAGAAGCCAGAGGAACTCCAGTATTACAATTATCAAAATTAGGAAGAAGGCATTTGATAATTAAGATCAATTGCGTGACAAATAGATGCCAAACTCTAGACATGTGGAGAATATCAGTCAGTAAGTCCATTGTCATGTGGAAGAGCGAAGGCTGTGAGGAGGGCTACTGCACACTCTACAATGGAGTATTTTTTACTCCCAACAGCCTATGAAACCCTGAGGAGGAAAGCCAGCATCTTTTGTGTGTTGGCCATGGTTTTGTCAAACCAGGAAATAAGTAATATTTAAAATAAAGAACTTGAGTGTGACTATGATGAGCCACAATGAACCATTTCTGAGGCACACTGAAAGTGCTCCCATGATTTATTTTTGCTGAGAGTTGTTTCTTCTGCTTTGCAGTTCTGAATATTTGTTTCTACTACTGTACCGAGCCAGACATCTTTGGATTTGGTATGTGTGTGTGTGTGTGCATGTTCATGTTAATCTATATATGCACCTGTTGCATGTGTACTTCGAGGCTAGAGGTGGGCACTGAGTGTCCTATTGAATCACTCTCCATCCTATTTTTGAAGACAAAGTCTCACTGATTCACAAAGGTCACACACAGATGATGGTAGACCAGGTAGCTAGCAAACCTCAAGCATCATCCTGTATTTGCCTCCCCTGAGCTGAGATTAAACTGTGCTTAGCTTTATATGTGAGTGCCAGCATCTGAACTCATGCCTCCTTGCTTTCCTGGGGCAAGCACTCTACTGACTGACTGATCTACACAACTCACAATATTGTGGATTTTATTTTATAAACAATGTTATTTCTTCATGTATTATGTGGCAAAGATACTGCTAGTCAATACTTTATCTGATCTTTTTGGGTACACTTACACCAAATGAGCCAATTGCTAAGAGTGTATGTCATAATGACTCTGCAAATCAACCAAGTACCTAACGCCCAAATCCATAATTGTTTATAAGAAACAATGATGGGTATCTTCCACATTATTTCTTCATAGATATATTTCTTATTATTTTCAATTTTAGTTGGAACAGAAAGATCCAATACTTTTGAGATATGAACATTTTATAATAAAATTTGAAATAGAAACTTTGTGTATGAATACTCCAAAGTACACTACAGTGGCTTTCACTTTGAGGGGAGATGTTCTAATAATAATATGATGATTTGAACACCTGATAAGGGAGAACTTGTGAACACCTGTTCTCACTGAAAAACACAGGGAAACATTTCAGGTTAATGGTAAACATACAGTAGATGTATTCATTAAACAAATTATTATGTGATGATACAACCTCAGAGAAGAAAAAAAGAACACATGTTCTTTTCATACTCAGAATCTCGCTGATAATATATGTATATATGTAAACAAATATGCATGTGGATACAGGAAAAGCGGTAGAAAAAAGATCCAGAAATGCTATATATGTGGGGAACACAAGTCATGTCAGAGGATACAAAGCTAATTGTTTTAGTTCTAACTTTGTCATAGACTTTTCAGTTTTGGTAGTGGTTAAAGGCATAAAAGTATATTTGATAGTCAAAGAATAAAATACAGGATGAGGCTCTGTAACTTTCACTTCAAATTACTACTCTGCTTATAAAAAATTCTTTGCGATGTATAATTTTGGTTATGCTTAATCTTGTTGTCCAATGGAGTAAAATTTGCAATGTTTTTCATAATAAAGTTTGAATATTACTTGGTAATTTTAAAGAAATTATTAAATGAAATTAATATGTTAATTACTTTCCACAAAAGCATTGAATAGTTAAAGCATTATATACCATTCTCAGAGTTTTCTTTTACTTTTTGGTTAAGGTGGGAGATGGAAGTTCATATACAGACACATAAACATAAGTGAAAACACAGAATATTTACTAGAAGACTTTAATTTTTAGTAACATGACTGACTTGTAAAGATTCCCACTCTGAGCATTTTTCACCATTCCATTTTCTAGAATGCAAAACCTACTTTGTGAGGTATTCCTGAAAGCAATATGTTCTGTCAGGTATTTTAGGCTTCCAAAGAATTAAAAACAACCTAATAGAGGTAGGAGTAACAGATAATACCTACAAGCAAGTTGGTGCAGTTTGGTTGAATTGTTAATATTCTTCAAATAAAATCTGCAGCCATAAGGAAAGGTTTCACAGACAGAAGGATATCATAGACTTTACATAAGTCTTCGTTAAGAAAAGTCAAAGCATAGGACATGTGATCACTCCTTCAGTACAGCAAGAAGTACTTCCATACAAAAACTAAGAAAGCTACTAAAAGGTAAGAAAATTATACACAAGTGTATTTTAAGAAGATAGAAGTAAAATCTTCAATAAACACCAATGAGTAAAACTCATCAATTTATGACATACATATACAGAAACAAGAAGTAGTATTTTCAGTGTGAAAAAAAAGAAGAGTTTATTCATCATTTGAAACCACCACATCAACAAACTAAAGAAGAAAAATTTTCTGGAATGTCAAATGATCTCGAAGACAAAGGACTTGAAAAACTCATTGATCAGTCATTAAAAAACTTCAACAAACAAGGAATAGAGAAAACTCCTGTTTAACTGAGGATAAACATCTGTAAAAATCTTTAGCTACAATCACAGCAAGGGTGAAACATAAACACTATTCCTACATAAATACAGCTAATGCAATAAGACAAGAAAAGTGACTAAAACATAAATATTTAAAAGGTACATAAAATCATAATTATTTATGTATTATTGATTGTCTTTAGATACAACCAAAAAATTTATAGCATACTTTCTGGATACATGATAGATATACAAAAACTAGTTCCCTTTCACTTTATCAGTCATGAACCCTTGGAATTTAAAATTTAAAATAAAGGCTATTTTCTATAATAAAGAATAAGAAATGTTTGGATATAAAAAGAATTATACTGATACTGATTTTAAGGAAGATCCAAATAAGAACATAGTTTTGCTATTCTGGCTTAGTATGTCTTGAATCAAAGATATATTAGCAGCAATGAGCATATCTAGATTCAGATCTTAGTTTTAACATGTCCCTTCAACAGAAGGAGATGGGAATCTTGAGGGAAATTGTGATTGGTTTAAGACTTAATAAGTCATAATCTACAGGATGGGCAAGAAGCATTTTATTGTGACAAAGAATAAAAAGCACTACAAATAAAGCATAACAATATATTGTCAGTGAATTTCAAAAAGATATAGTTGACACTTAAGGAAGTCCAGACTTGGAAGCTGGAATAAGACTAACATGTACTTAAAATAATAGTGGGTTATTTAATAAATAAAAGTGTACTCAGTCTACCTTGATGTAAGTAAATGTTTAGCCAAATGCACAGAAAGTAGGCAAGTATCTTACACAAAGCATTCAAAGCTCCATATGTATACCTTCTATTCTGGAAGATGGAACATAACTTCCCTCGCTTTCTCAACTGGTTTCCTTCCAAAGACTAAATAATGATTGTAGAAATAAGAAACTGAATACTTTTATAGAGGTGTTTCTTGCCCAAGGGCAAAATTCCAATCTAGACATGTATCAGGAAAATTCCAACTGAGGATATTTTACTGAGCAATTTATCAGTAAACCTCGGACGAATCAAGGTTCTAAGAAATCAGCAAAATCTGAGAAATTGTTAGGACCGTGTGTGTAGCTTGGAAACACAAATCCTGACTGAAATTGTTTGTTTTTTCAAAACAATTAATTATTTTACATAACAACCACAGTTTCCCTTCCCCCTCTCCTCCTGGTCTTCCTCCCTCCGTTCTATCACCCCTATATCTACTCCTCCTCTCTCTCCGTTCAGAAGGGGTAAGGCCTCGTATAGGAGTCAACAAAGCATGGCATGTCAAGTTAAGGCAGGACTAAGTTTCCCCCTCCTGCATCAAGACTTAAAAGGCATCCAACTCTAGGGCATAGGTTCCAAAGTGCCAGTTCATGTTTCAAGGACAGGTTCTGGTCCCACTCCCAGGGGTTCCAAAAACAGATAAAGTTACACAACTGTCTCTCATATGCAGAGGGCCTAGGTCAGTCCCACGCCAGCTCCCCATTTGTCAGTCTAGAGTCCACGAGCTCCTA